AGAAGCAGCAACACTGGCCTTATTAGTGAAGCATTAGCTACCTGGAGCCTGGGTTTATAGAATTAACAACTAGGAAATGAAAGACACTATGCATGCTATTTTCTACACATTTTTCAATAGCCATGTGTTTAGAACTATGTGGAGAAAACGTCCGAGTGATTGAAAATGTAAGTACTTAACCTGGTATTTGGTGTGGAGTTACTGCAGCTCATGGTTGACGGCTATAAATTTCACCTGCATTATTCATCTCCCTAAAAAGTAGGTAGTCTAACAGATTTTTAGGTGGAAATAAAAATCACTTCCAAGAAAAGCCATGCCATGCCCAACTGAAGGATATATTTATTATGAGCATTTTTATTCAGATCATTTCACTGTCTACACTTCAAGAGAACCTAAGATCAATAGCTACTGGAATATTCCATTCTGATTCCAGAGAAGAAAAAGATATGAGTTTGTGTCCAGAGAACTGTTATTCCACCTTACCCACATTGATGATCTGATTATCGTAACTTCACCAACTTCTTTACTCTACACAGAGAGGATCCTTCAGCCCGCTGCTGTCCAGCTCTAGAACTGCACAGCACAGTCAAGAGACAGACGGTGGTCAGGAGAGCAGGTGACAGGGTTTGTTGCAGGCACAACCTGCCACTCAGTCCTTTTGTTTCTTCATCTATAAAAATGAAGATAAGAGGAGCACCTGTTATCCTATTAGGAGCACCTATTACATAACCCTGCTTCGTAGGGTTATGTAAGAATTAAGTAAGATAGTAAAGGTGAGGTAGCCGGCAGACCACCTGTGGCATTACCAAGCAGAATGTTTCTGAAGTGTAGGGTCAAATGTTGCCTTTCTTTCCTTTTCTTCAAGAGCTTTTGTGTGTGAATGATTTGCTCCCTGCACCTGCCCACCTCTGCGCCTCAGTTACCACACTGTTCACTCAACTCTGAGCTCAATTCCTTACCTGTTATCTCAGACTGTTTAGCACAACCTCTGTGTGGTGCAGAAGGTAGTATTTGTGCTGTGTGTGTTTGCGTTTTATTATATGATATTGTAGTGTATGTGGGCGTGGCATTTCTTTTCCCAACTAGAGTGCAATTTGGGAATTTTGATACATGTTAGCATATTACCTTTTTCCCAGATGTACCTTAATTTTTGCTGTCACAGATTTTCTCAACAAACATTTATATTCATTGTCCATCACATGTAGACCCTTGGAATACATAGAAGTGACCACATACACCCTTGTAAGATGCACCAGAGGTGTGGTCCCACCAAGAATATGAATGTCTTAACACAATAACTAAGAAAACGCTGTGAAGGCTATGTTGACCAGTTTGATGAAAGCATTTCAGATTGTTTGTAAAACCAGCACATTGTACCCCGTGATTGCATTAATGTACACAGCTATGATTTAAAAAAAAAAAAAGAAGTAACCACATAGAATTCCTGGATCTTGCAGTGAAGAGAGGTGGACAGAATCAATCAATTAGATAATGTGTCTAAAGGGAGTGTTGGCAACAGTGGGGTTTTTTTGCTATTTAAATGCATTAAGTAATTCAGGGAAGACCTCAGGAAGATACGAAACAAGAGACAAAACCTCTGGGGGGAGAAAGTTCCAGGCAGAAGAAACAGCAAATGCAAACTTCCAAGGCCAAAGCCTCCTGACTGGCTGGAATTCCGCCCAGGTTGGTAGAGCAGAGTCAGTCAGGGTCAGCAGTGAGAGGTAAGGGCAGGAGAACATCCATGCGCCAGATTACGTGGGGCTATGTTGGCCTCTGTGAAGTCTAGAGTTGTTTTATGAATGAGACGGGGAGGCTTGTGGTTGATGATGAGCTGTTTTAAGTCTAAAACCTTCATTCTGAACATTGTGGGAAGAATAGACCTGGTTATTGGGGTCAAGGGCAGGAGCCAGAGACTCCGAGGCCATTACCATAATCCAATGGTGATGACAATTTGATGACTACAGTTTCCACTTCCCATTCTGCATGATGGAGAATCATAGACGTGCTTTACCATCCTCGCTAATTATAAATTAGTATGGGCCGGGATCACAACAAATTTATGTTGGTCAACACCAGAATTTTTAAATCAAGAAAATAAAGTTTTGGTACTCTCTACTGGCTGTCATTCCTCCCCCATCCCACCCTACACTGTGTCCCTCTCCCCCTTACAGAATTCCTCACTACAGCACACAGGGGTCAAGCACTGTGCCTTCATGTTATAAAGGAAAAAAATTAGGGTGGAGGTGAAAACAAAACAGAAGTTATAAAGTAGAAGGCGCAGTCCCTATTCTCAAGGAATCTCTACATCAATAATAATGATAAAAACAAACTAAACGTGTGTGTGATCTAGTTCATACCTGTTATAGTCACCTCATACTTGACCTGAAAACTACATACATTTTCTATACATATATGGTTTTGTAAAATAGAAATCTATGCTTGGGCCTTGCTATTTCCAATTAATAAAATTTCATATGTAGTATTTGGGTTATTTAACTCTAACTCAGTAGTACAGCATGAGAATCATCTTACAGACATCCAAGGTCCTTTTTCTTTCTGAGTCAAAGATATTCCTAATGTATATCTTCAAAAGCTTTTGGGTTAGAACCAGTGGCAATTATGAGATCTAGTTATCCAAGCAAAGGAGACAGAAAGGATTCCTTTTCACTTTTATTTTTTCAGAGTGAAGCTCTTAAATTCTATTCATTGTGCTAAGACTGCTGGTTAATCTCTGCAGGTTTCCTGACACCCCTCCCCCTCCCCAATGAAGGTAAAGCTCCTGCTGCCTCTAGGGAAAGGAAAGTGTCTGGCTGAGTGCTCTAAATCAGACTTTCATGGGAAAATATCCACTAATAATTAATTTTCTGCTTGCTTTAGAATAGGACAGGTTAAGCAGTTGGTCACATTCCGTAAATAAGAAATTACTTGCAGTAATTTCCGCAACATTCTAATCACTGTGCCATTCCTGAAACCTATTTTAAAAGTCTTTGATCTGCATTATGGTGGAAAGGACATTGAATGTGGAAGGACTGGCTGATGCATTCAACTTTCCACCTGCTAACATGGTGGCCCAGCCTAGTCATTTCCCCTAAACGTCTCTATTTATTCCTCGTGATGAAGCACATAGCAATCCACACCCCACAAAGCTGTTATGAACGCTCAATAGAAAAACAGACAAAAGCCACAAATACAGGGGTCACACTTTAAACCTCCGATGAACCCAGATACTAGATGGCACAGTAGAATCATCACTGTCCTAGAGTGGAGTTTCAGAGTTCTATCCTGTGCCACAAAATGTCATCCTGTGAAATGGGAAATACGACCCCTCTTTCTTTTTCTGCATGTTAAGGATTACAATAAACGGTAACTGTTTAATTACATAACTGAAGGGCTTTATTTTCTTCATTAAATACATCTACAAACGCTGTGCAGTTGGCAGTGACCTTTAGGAATTCTCCCGGTTTGGATTCTGTGGGTGAGGAAGCAGAGTCAGGCTCTGCAATGCTCCTGCTCCTACTTTTCCACCCTCTGATTAGTTTTATACTTTGACAGCGTCTACCCTGTTGTGTTCAGCTTGCAATTTTGTAGCAATCTGAAACACTGTGTTCAATCCCCCAAGGTGTTCTGTGGAAACTGTCAAACTATTCCCATGTATGTGTGTTTTCATTCTGTAGCTGTGCTTTGTACTCATTTAAGAAACCGGTGTTTAATTTGTATCAGGACGTTTTCAAGATGAAACACAGAATTCCAGGCCTCAGCAAAATCACTGGTATATGACCACAGCCTTCTGTTCCAAATCTTAGTATGCCTGAATTCTATTAAATGCAAAGCAGTGTTTTTGAATATTGCTGTAGAATATGACTGAATGAATAGCTTCAAATTTGGCCTTAAAATCTACAAATTGTTACACGCTCGCCATCATCGTCTGGGTGGGGTATATCCTTCCAATTTCCACTCTCATCCCTTTGCCCTATGTCCCATGCTTGTCTGAGCTCCCTTCAAAGGCCTGGCTCTGATGCCTTAATCCTGGGCTGTCCACATGCAGCCCCTCTGTCTAAAAGGCCGTGTCCTGTGCTCCTGTCCTCTTCATCTCGGGCATTTCCTGTTCCAGAAAGGCTTTCTTTGCACCCCAATATCCTTTAAGAATCAAGTAACTTTCTTTTGTCTCCCGTGCATCTTGTGCATGATTTTTCCAAAATATTCTTCTTTCTGGACAATAGTAATTGGTTTTGTTGGCGGTCTTCCCCACTAGACTAAAACTTTTAGAGAGCAAGGGTAGAAGATATCTGACCCCAGAAACAGGTGCTTTATTTATAAATGTTTGCTGGATAAATGGATGCTTCTCGAACAAACCATTTGTCACTTGATTGAAAAGGCAGAAAGTACATGTTACTAAAAGCATCATATTAACTTAGATACAGTTAATTATGACAATGATCAGTAAGCACAGTTTACCATTTTATTAATGAAATACAGATAATAATATCAGTGTACACGCTCACCACTCTGTAAATTCAAGTTTTTCATTAAATAAATACGTATATGTCTATTACTTGCTTTCTGCATTTGGTACAGCATGTTCAGAATCATAGTGGGTCGAGCAGGTCTAACTGATCGACCTTTACTACTTCTTAAAATTTTAATCAACGAAATTGTTGTAATGTTGAAAATTGTTATTGGAACTACTTTAACTTCTTTTAGATTTATTTCTCATGCACACAGAATAAAATAATGATTTTGATTAGCTTTGAATTGAAATGCACACACACAGGTTTAATAAAAATGACAAAACTGGGCACTAGGATTTTTTCCCTTTTTCTGGGGAATGGAAAACAGACCAGTGTCAAATGTCATGCGTTCATGTCCCCTGGTTTTATTTCTAATATTTGCATTTGGTGCTGAGCCATTATTATTCAGCAAAAACAAATAACATTTAGCACAAAAGCAGTGTCTCTCATTTTTATTTTGATTAATAGTGTTTTGTCTCATGTAATTTGTAGGTGTTATTTGGAAGATGGAGCTTCAAAGGGTGCCTGGCTGAACCGGTCAAGTATTATTTTTGCGGGAGGTGATAAGTGGTCAGTGGACCCTCGAGTTTCAATTTCAACATTGAATAAAAGGGACTACAGCCTCCAGATACAGAATGTGGATGTGACAGACGACGGCCCGTACACGTGTTCCGTCCAGACTCAGCACACACCGAGGACCATGCAGGTGCATCTAACCGTGCAAGGTAGGCGTTTTCAGAGCTGTTAGGTAGTGAAGCCTGTGTTTAGGAGTGCTTAGTGTTTAGGGACCAAAACGATTCAGAAGCAACTGACTAGTCTTGAGTCAATGTTGAAATATACGTTGTCATTGTCTTAAGGGATTTGTGTTTCTAGGTGTTATTAAGCATAATAGGTATTATTCAGATGCTCAGTTACAAACATCAAGAAATATCCATGAACACCACATTACAATACCTTTCTTTCTTTCTTCCTTTTCTTTTTCTTTTTCTTTCTTTCTTTCTTTTTTTTTTTGAGACAGAGTCTCATGTTGTTGCTCTTGGTAGGTAGAGTGCTGTGGTGTCATTGCTCACAGCAACCTTAAACTCTTGGGCTCCATGATTCTGTGACCTCAGCTGCCCATGTAGCTGGGACTACAGGTGCCTATCACAATGCCTGGCTATTTTTAAAGAGGGAGTCTTGCCCTGGCTCAGGCTGGTTTCATGCTCCTGAGCTCAAGCAATCTACCTGGCTCAGCCGCCCAGAGTGCTGGGGTTACAGATGTGAACCACAACACCCGGCCTCACGTTGTCATATTTGTATATTATTCTTTCTATGTCTTCCTTTAAATCACCCCTGAAATAAATCTATGAGAACCCCTGATTGATACATTAACATAAATCTTTGAGACCTTATGATATATTAAAGTATTAGGACTTTTCGGAATATAGATGGTAATGCTTTAAAAGCAATTCTCTAACCTTCCAGTACTCTGTCTCAATCCAACTTCTGTTCACTTTGACTGAAGTCACAGTGAACAATAGTGGCCTTTTAGAATAGGAGTGCTTTATTTAAATATAGAGTAATTGAAAGTATATGTGCACAATGCTTTACACGTTGATTCACTTTCAGTCGATCACAAATATTGCCAGCTAACTTTCAGTATCAAAATGCAAATGGAATCATAAAATTAGTTTCTCCTACACGCCAACATGTAAGAGCACATAAACTCCCAACACAAATTATTTTTAAGAAATACGCTATTATAATGCTAGGAGAATGAGAATGTTTACTTTTGCCTTTTTACCTTACCTTTTTGTGTTTTGTAAATTAGTCTTGTGTTGATTGTGTAGAAATATTATGCTCTGTGGAACCCAGAAATGACATTGCACTATTTCTAAGTAAAATTAGTAACAAATTACATGATAACGTGATACTGGTATATGTATTTTATTCCTAACAGGAAAGTTGAGTGCAGAAGTTAGTTGTACTATCTCGGAATTTGCCCTTCAATAAACGAAGGCTAAAAAATTAATTTAGGTACATTGCTGAGGCCCAGTATAGATTGTTAATCTATAATTTTATTAAATTTGTTAACAATGAGATTTATTTCCCTATATAAAGGTAAACTTAAATTTAAGCACAGATTCATTGGTTGGTGCAGTAAAAAAATTTAATTTTTTCATAAGGTTAAACTTCTTCTTGAAAAAAACTAATGTTAAGGAGGAAAGTATAAATTAAAAAACAAGTCAGAGAATTTCCTTACTAGTTTTTCTTATTACAGGTTATTGACAATGCAATGATGTTCCTTATTTGAAAGTGCCTTATGATAATATAATACAGTTTTCCTAACAGACCATCTTTATTCAGAGATTATTTAGGGACTGTAAGAGGTAGGAGTTTGCCAAGCTTCAGAAACGAACATGAGATCATTAGGAAAAAGCCCATTTCTTCTGTTATCCAGCCTAATCCTAGTCTCTGGTTTGATTCTGTGCCCTCCGACGTGAGTTTCTAGCTGAAAGACTATAAACGATTTTTATTATGTGAGCAAGAGTATGCTTGGATCATAACATATTCACGTAATTTAAGATACAGACATTTTGCTTGCACATTTTAAACGTGTAGGTTTAAATGACATATTTCTGAACAGTAAATGTCCCCTTTCTCTTCTTCCACTCTCTCATGTTCCTTCTTGGGCCTGTGATAAACCCTGCCAGGCACTTGTGTAACCCTCACAAGGTTTCCTTACAACTGTGGAATGCATTGAGTGTTTAGTACTGTTCATATTTTCAAAACTGTTAAGATATTATTTATTTGTTGGACATTTGATGATGATGAACTTTTGAGGCATTAGTAATGTTTTGTCAGCATATTATTTTTCTCTAGAAATGGCCACAGCTGTACCCCTGGAAGAAATGAGACCTGGTGTTCAGCAGATCAGTGAGGCAAAAATAATTACCATTTATCTATTGTACATTTCAAATAGCTAGAAGAGAATCATTGAATGTTCTTAACATAAAGAAAAGGTGAATAAGATAGTGGATATCCAAATTACTCTAATTTGATGATATCAGTGGATCAAAATATCCCATGTAACCTCAAAATACTCATAGGCAACACGTATTAATAAAACAATCAAACTGTTAGAAAGAAAAGAAAATCAATCTTTGTTATTTTGAAAGTATATAATTGGGTCAAATTAAAAGCTAAAAATTTTACAGTACTTATGAGCATAATTGCTTATCAGAAGTTGATTGGCATGTGGGCAGTTTTCCAATTAAATTAATAAAGTTCATGGGATACATTAATAGGCTTGTCAGTCAATTTAAGAATTAAATAAATGCCATGGAAAGTCAACCCCACTTAAGCTACATTTCCACACAAGGAACAGAAGTAAACTGATGGGTGCGTCTCTCCAGTCTCTGAATTTGTTTGATTATTTGATGCTCAGGCCTTCCTGGATAGTGTTGGAAGATGTGCTTTTTGCCTTATAATATGTCAATCCTTTATTCACCAAAAAAAGGAACTTAGCAGCTGGGGGTGATTGTATTAATCCCTGATGTCTAACACACCTTGGGGGGTAAAAGCAGAGACCCTCCTCAAAGGATGCAGCTACGCGCCCAAGGGGGAAAAAAATCACCATCTTAGAATTCCCTGAGTACGAAGATCGCCCATCTCTGCCACACCAGGCACTGACCATGGGGAATTTACTGGAGTTATTGATTTCTTATAGCAATTAATATAAATTAATGGAGTAATATGGGAAGAAAAACACACAAATAGAAGTTGAGAAAGCTGGATTCTAACCCTGATTTTGCCCTCATTAAAACGGATAATTATCAAGCCTCTCTGGACTGTACTTTCCTTATTTGAAAGAGGATTCAGATAAGTAGATTGTTAAAACTCATGCTAGTTTACAACAAAAACACAGATGACAAAAACAAAGAAATAAAAGCCCAAAAAAAAGTCCACTGTGATTATTTCCTTTTGACCTAAAAGGGGAAAAAAAGTTTTTAATTATTTAATATAAAACTTTAAAGGTATTCTGTAACTCACATTGAGCACATATACAATTTTTTTTTTTATTTGAAACCCAGATTTGTTCTATTGCCCTGGCCACAGTGTGGTGGCGTCATCTTAGCTCACTGCAACCTCAGATGCCTGGGCTCACATGGTCCTGCTGCCCAGCGTCCCCTGCCATGGGACCACAGGCGTCCACTACACACCTCGCTAATTTCTTCTACTTTTATTAAGACAAATGGAGTCTCGCTCTTGATCAGGCTACTCTGTAATTTCTGAGCTCAAGCAATACTCTTGTCTCAGCCTCTCAGAGTGTGAGGATTACAGGCATGAGCTATATACACAAAACAGTTTTACACATAGCCTCTTCTTGTATGTACTCCACAAGTATGTTTTATTTACCTTTATATTTTTCTTCATCAGCTGAGATGAGCAATCTAGGTACTCATGGAATTTTAACATTGTGATAAATTAGAGTTTGACCTTAAGGGGGTAGATATCGGCTAATGGACCATGTGGAAATACAATTGTTTTCATTACCTATATATAATATGGTGCTAAAAAATCAAGTTCCTAATTACTAAGTGTTTTAAATTCTGTTTCAACATTTACTAAGAGCAAACTTCCTTGATCATAAGTTAAAAAATATATATGTGTGTGTGTGTGTATATATATATATATGATATATATCAATGAGTGAGACTGGAAGACTTTGAATGAAGCCATAGCTCCATGTTACACTGCTATAATAAAAGGAATCATGAAATACAAAGCTACCAAGTCCAATATAGGACAGGCATGATACCGTGGTTCATATGTGCCCCCAATTTTCATGTGCCAGGAATATAATATGAAATGCAACAGTATTGGGAATTGGGGCCTAATAGGAGGTGATTAAGTCATGGGAACTCTGTCCCCATGATGGGTCAGTGTCATTGTCAAGGACGTAGGCTGTTGGTCATGTGCAAGTAGGCGTGCTCTGCAGTGGGTCTGGCGTCCTCTTGCTGCCTTGCTCTTGGGCGTGGCGTCTGTCTTCCACCGTGGGGTGAGCCAGCCCCCACAGATGCCAGGGCCATGCTCTTGGGCATTTTAGCCTCTAGAACTGGAAGCCAAATAAGTTTCTTCCCTTATAAATTTCCCAACTTGTGGGATGCTCTTCCAGCAACATAAAATGGATGAAGGCAAACGGTCCCTACTCTGAGTTCCCCGTAATGTCTGAAGTCTAATTTGTCTATATCACAGACACGCATGGGTGTTGTATATTAAACAAGTGCTTGTTAAATGTTTACCACTCAGCTCATGGCCTCTCAGGGAGATGTACCATAGGCTTCTCTAAGCAGAGTAGAAAGAGCCTTGGTTGGCACATAGCTTTCTATATGCAGACTAACTGCCCAGTGTCTTCAGCCTCCCAGGGCACTGTAATGTCCTCAGTGCCCCCGACTTGGCTGGAGTCTGGGATAGACGGAAGGCTCCACTTCCTTCTCCAGGATAATCTTGGTCTTCTAGCTGCTGGGAGTATATCCAGCAGACAGCATTCTTTCTCCTGCCCTTCTGGGGTTGGTCTCATCTAAAGAAAGCCACCTTGTCAAGGGCAGCCAACATCCAGGGGCTGAGTGAGGCAGGGTGTAAAGACCTTCCCTTTAAACCCACGGTAAGACAACTCCAATGGGTGGTGCCTGAGCAGCCTCGGACGGGCCCAGTCTGCCTGCAACTCAGCTGCGTGCCCTTC